CACACACACACACACACACACACACACACACACCTCAATTTTATCTGTACTTATTTTATTGATAAGAATTGGTGTATTTAATTGTGTATGTCCTAACCCCAGTATATGACTTCTGTTTGTTTTTCCTTGAAGGGTTTAATTATATATATATATATATATATTTTGATTGATTTGAATATTGCACTATTCTCTATCCTGATTGTCTGTATATCCCATCATCTCTCTCCTGCCGCTATTGCATTTTAATGGGTACTTTGCTTTAGGTTTTTCCAAGATGGATCTCTATTTTGTCATTCCTTTTACATGGACTTTGGTATTAACTTATAACATTACAAATAACATTAACACAACAACAAGTGTAGGGGACAGCAGGGCACAGACTCTTTTTGACTTTCTCAGTTTGTGTAAATCAACATGGGGTTCAGAGTGTAATTTTTCACATTAATTTCACACTTGTCTAGTACAACTTGGTACAAATGGTTTTGTTTCATAATTACAGTGTTTACGTATTCCTTTATTTACCCCAAATAATGAAAGTGAAGTGTGACAACATGCCCCATAGGCACATTGTAACATCTGAGGGGCATGCTGTAACAGGACCATATGACAGCTTAAAATGTTATCTGATGTAATGAAAAAATGTACAAGACAAACTAAAATATGTTATACTAAAATAATGTTGTTTTTTTTGGATTTTGGAATTTGACAATGAGCACATTGCAGCCATGCTTGGGACGGCCCTGATCACAACACACAGCTTTACAGCATACTTCTAAATAACGTGCTGAAGAAACACATTCAGACAAACACAGAGATGAACACAACACTTCCCTCCACAGAACAGGAGACAAATAGATGAGCAAAAATGCTTTACACTTCTTGAGATAAGAATTTCTGAACATTAAACATTGACTCTCAATCTGTATTCTTTAAATAAAGGTTTCTCATTAAAATACTTTAAAGTAAATGGTGTAAACTGCATCGCTAATGTCACAGAATAGCATAGTTTAATAATAGCGGGACACATTGTAACGCATCTGTGCAATCCCTATGTGTGCAACTGGAATTTAAAACCAGTAGTGTTTAATATGGTTTTAACAGATCTTGGGTCAGTTTTGTAGGTTCATTTTAAATGAATTGAATATGCATGTCTAACAAAAAAGTAAGTTTGATGTGCCCAATTGGCCTAGCCCTGCCTAAAAACACACAAAACAAGCGCTACAAATTAATAAAATAATGCAAATTATACAATTATATTTAATTCATTATTTGTAGATTTACACTGTAGACATTTAACAAATTACACATTCATGAAAACACCTGAAATTGTTTTCTAAAAAGGTGTCATTATTCATGTTTGGATTGATTGTTTATTGCATTTACAGAGTTTTGACCAGCAGGTGTCGCCAGCGTCTAATGTTTCCAAGGGGTACTCACTGGATATGTTTTGTGACAAATCTTATGTCTCTGAAATGGCATCTGTTTAGCCAGAAATGACATAATGTGACATACAATGTTTTGAAGTTAACTTACATTCTGAACCTTTACTTTATTTCTAATCTTAATGACATCATAATAACAAAACATTTATAGCATTAATACCAATCTAAATAACATTATTTCTAATATTGATTTGTGATCTGTATAATAGTATAACGTCCGTAATATTGTATTAATAGATATTAATATTTTATCTAAATAAAAAGGTATATAGATTTATTTATTTATTTACTTATTTAACCAGGAAGGTCCCATTGAGATACAATATCTCTTCTACCAGGGAGTCCTGGTCAAGATAGCCAGCAAAGGACAAATTTACAAAAAATAAATAAAATACACATCACCACATAATGAACAAACATAAAAGACAATTTTCTAAAAGCAATACAAATTCTAGTCAGTTATTAAAACATTTACACTGTTCTATATAAACGGACTTTAAATTATTTTTAAACATAGCAAGAGATGGTACAGATTCCATATATAATGTACCTTGAAGTTCATACCATACATACGTGATTATTTGTTCACATACACAATTATAGATCCCCTTCAGCAGCACAGTCCACCTGTCACAAATCGGCTACTGTGGAGGAACGAGGAGACACAGGAGTAAACTCAAAAACACAGTCTTTAATCTTCTGATTCGGGGAGACACTGGGTAGACAGACACACACGCAGCACATGCACAAATAATACCAGACAAAGAACTCAGAACAAAACACTCCTTAAGAATACAACACAATCAGGAGAAGACGAGACACACCTGAAATCAAATTGGAAACAATCAGGGAGCAGGAACAGGAAAACCAAATAAGGGCATGGAAACACAAGAGGGAAAACAAGGAACACATGGGGAGGAAAACAACAAAACGGGAACACAAGTCTGACATTGGGGGGGTGGGCACCCTGGAGGCTGGTGCAGGACTGGGACACGGGGAATACCTCCAGGGCGGATCAGGCAGTCCAGGGTGCAAATGGCGGTACAGGGAGCTCAGGGGTCATGGTGGAGCAGGCAGACTAGGAAGCCATGGCGGAACAGGCAGTTCAGGAGGCCATGGCGGAACAGGGAGCTCGGGGAGCCATGGCGGAACGGGTAGCCATGGCGGATCAGACAATTCAGGAGGCCACGGCGGAGCAGGAAACTCAGAAGGCCATGGCTGGACGGCCTCCGTGGCCCTGGCCTCGCCACTCGGCCCGGCCACTACAGCTGGGAACTCAGGACAACCTTGGCCGGACGGCACTCCCCCCCCCAAAAAAAAATCTTTGGGGAGAATATCGTCTTTAGAGGCCCTCCGTAGGCCTAACTCCGGAACAGTGGCCCTCCCTGGGCTTGACTTGGGGACTGGAGCCCTCCTCAGGCTCAACATGGGAACTGGAGTCCTTTCTGTGCTACACTCGGGGACTGGAGCCCTCTCGGGGCTAAATTCAGGGACATGAGCCCTCACTGGGCTAGACTCGTGGACAGGAGACCTCACTGGGCTAAACTTGGGGACTGGAGCCTTCTCTGGGCTAAACTCAGGAACAGGCGGGCTTGACTGTGGAACGGCCGGCGGAGGGATTCTGGATCGGGATCGGGATCGGAGGCTCTCCAGACACCGGATGACCGCCTCTTCCAGTCGAGGTTGGTGGTGTCTGGGAGTTCTGTTGGCAGATGGTATGTGATCCCGTGCCGGAACAGCGTCACCAGGGTCTCCCCATCCAGGGAGCTGGCGAGGGCGGGCGGCATGAATGCCCTCGCATAGGTGAGCGGGTCGTGACTCGCCTGAGCCACGGCAATGAACAAAGCTTGTTCCTCCATGTTAGCGAGGAGAAACGAACAGAAAAACAAAACACTTTTCAAAAAACGAAAAACAAACACGGGGAGAAGGGGCACCGCTTACTGTCATGGTATGGTATTCTGTCACAAATCGGCTACTGTGGAGGAACGAGGAGACACAGGAGTAAACTGAGTAAACTGTAAACACAGTCTTTAATCTTCTGATTCGGGGAGACACTGGGTAGACAGACACACATACGCAGCACATGCACAAATAATACCAGACAAAGAACTCAGAACAAAACACTCCTTAAGAATACAACACAATCAGGAGAAGACGAGACACACCTGAAATCAAATTGAAAACAATCAGGGAGCAGGAACAGGAAAACCAAATAAGGGCATGGAAACACAAGAGGGAAAACAAGGAACACATGGGGAGGAAAACAACAAAACAGGAACACAAGTCTGACACCACCCTCAGCAACTGAAAATGCTTTTCTGCAAACTGTGCAGTTCATCGTATATAGTCACTGGACATTACTATCATATGTTTTTTTATAACTCCTTTAAAGTCATTTGTGAATTAAAAGCACAAAAAGTACGGTAACAAAATAAAAGCTCCCTCAGAAAAGCTCCTGTCAGACTCCCTTTACGCGCTGCATGATTGACGTTCAACGGTTTCAGCTTTCAGCATAATATTACAATTAACCACACGTTTATGCAAGTATGAAAAAAAAATGAGGGGGGGGGGGGGGGGGGGGTCATGATTCAATCTGATAGAGCAAACTTTCTGTGAACGTCCAAGACAATTTACTTAGAAAATAAGTCTAAACTTTAAATTCAGCCTTAATTTGCTGATATTATCTGGCAAAATAAAACAAAAATTTCAAGACAATTAAACTCGCAAATGCTAATTGTTGTAATATAAATAATCTCAGTAGGCTACATTAATGCACCCAGATGTTTTACTGTTGAGTTTTTCTTCATTCTTATTCTCAATACTGATGCCATGTTTCTTCCTGTACAGCATCTGCTTCCTGTCAGACACAGTAAAGTTTGCAGATTAAATGTGCAAGAATTAATCATGTGATGGGATCCGATATGTGTCACAATAATTGAAGGTTTTGTCACAGTATTGAATTACACTTACCTACTCTCATGTTTAAACAAGTGTGTAAATGTTGTCAACATCAATTTATGGTTGACAACAAATTATTATATATAAACACACACACACACACACACACACAGCTTTCCCTGTTGAATGGGGACCAACTTTATGAACATCAGTTAGGGATCACTTTCTAAAGGCTTTAGGGGTCCCCAGAACCAGGACTGAAACCACTGCTCTAGAGTGTGCACGGACAGAGAGCACATATTTACACCACATTTAATTTTCTGAATCCCGACATGTGCATGGAAAACTGCATATGCATATTTCAATGCCCATTTCACGAGTTCACACTTCCATATAATCAGTCAGAGTAAATAGTTTGCGTATTTGGTGTGTTGTCCGAGGAGAGGATCCTGACCCAGAGTCCTGCCCATATCCCAGACTGGGACAGGAATAGTGCAGAATTTTTTCTTTCGAAGGCATCAGTGACAAAATCACACAGATATGAGGTTGTTGGTGATTCAGAGGTGTGTTGAGTTTCTTGTTCCCGTGTGGCTGCTATTCCTGCTACTGCAACATTTGAATTAGTACACTGACAGCACACCTCCAAACAGCGGCAGACAACCATTACTGACACACACAATAGTGAAGAGTTCACCTGTAATAGAAGAGCTCACAGCACCGGCTCCTGAAGGTTTCTCTTCATTTGCTGATGCTGTTTTCCATCTCTTCTGCTGATGGTTCGGTGGAAAATTACCAGAATTCAACATTTTCACAAAGATATACTTTACATGTACCATAGAAGGCAGACAATACACAACTTACCTTATTTGGTGTACTAGTTGTTTTAAAGTATAATTAGTGCATAAACATGCAATAACTGTGAAGTGTGCATTATGTTTATCATTGCAAGAATAACTGAACTACACATGTTGCAGCTAATGAATGAGGGATATTTGATGATGATTTTATTGTCTGTTGACTGATATTGCTGATAATGATGATTGCACAACAACGTGTCGTCACAAAGAAGCAAGTGACAAGAGCTCATGAAGTTCACTTGACCTGAGCAGCTAAAAGTGTTCAACCTGAAAACATAACAGAGCCACACTAAAAGCAGGACTGTCCTGGAATTACGCGTCAGTTTTACTGATGTACAGCATGAATAATGTTAGATTTTGTTCATATCATTGTCTGATCAGTAAGTCCATGTGCAGATTGGATGAACTCAGTCGACACATTGTAATGAGAGCGATTCTGCCGCTGCACGTGATGCTGGAGCAATGTTTCTGCAGTCATGTCTCATGTCTCCTCCTGACTGAAAACTATCAGAGACAAACTGCAAACTGTAGTATTTTGATAGTAATACAAACCATTAACAGCAGAAGAACAGTGTTCCTCCTGTATGCTCCTGTCTTCCTCATCACTTTCCACAACTTCATCTGTGGAGGTCAAAGAAAAAGCAGCTTAACAATGTGATTTAGTGAAAAAGAATACATGGGAAATGCAGAAAGACAAAAACAATTTAATTAAAATAACACCCCATCAGGATCTAATCCGATTTCACCAAGTTCTTGTCATGGAGCTCAGCTGATCGTCTTTGTTTGAGATCCGTCAGGTCTTTGCTGATCTTGTCGGGTTGCAGGGTTTTCTCAGGGAGTCGATGGATTCTCATGTTGAGTCCGAGAACCTTTGTCAGCTGCTGCATCTCTGTGTCTGTCATATTCAGCTCTGTTGAAAGGGTTGCAGCACGCTTTCACAGTCCGCTAGATGTTGGTGACACTGCAGAGCCACAGAGGCTTCTGCTCTGGCAAACATATAACAGCTGTCTTTTAGATCCACATGAGACTCTCTCTGCTTAACAAGGAGATCTGAGACACACAGCAGTTCTGGAGCTGATGGACCATGCTTTCCCCTGCTGATAATCCTGGTGTTTTCCTGCTTCAGATAGCACCAGTCCACATCCTCATGCAGATCAGTCTCTTGATGAAAACACACCTCTCCTTCCCTGCACCGGTTAAAGAGAAGCGTCTGGACTACACAAACCTGTGGCAGCTCCATCCAGACTGCAGCAGAGGGACTTTCAGAGAGTGATTTGTGCCACTTCTCCTGCACTCGACTGAGATACTGGATGCGTGCATGTTTGGACGTCTTCAGTAAAGGGCAGAGAGTGATGTTCCTCAATGCTGTAGCTGAGATCGTCTCATTTTCCTGATGGACATCTTGAAACTCACTCTCTTTCTTCACAAGCTGTTAGTTGTTTGAGATGAAGCCGTGGGCTTTTAAGAGTCTGTTTACTTTAATCAAGGGATTCTCAAGCTTGTTTGCAAGTGATGGAATCATGAACGTGTCGGTTTCACTGTCATTCACACGTTTACTTGACAGCTTTGACAGTCTCCATGTACTTCTTTGAATTTACACAATCTTCTATTGTTTTTATGAGAATCTCCTAGCATTGTGAATCAATATTCCCAATTCTCACACACACTGTTTATTCTTTAGCTTTGTTGAACAAGTGCTGAACACAGCTTTCTTCTGGTTTGGAGGGACTGATCGAGGTTGAAGTCTACAAGTACACATATGTCGCCACAGGATCTTTCTTGTAAAACATCCTTGCCAGAAGACACAATGCATGAAATCTTCAGCTGCTGCTTTAAATGGCACTCGTTCCCCTTTCCTGACTCCATAACAGCAGCATTGTCAGCAGAGTTCCCTCTCTTGTGAATATAATCCAGCTGTTTTATTCTCTCCTGCTTACAGCTTTAGCCACATCAGATTCAGTAAATTAACTGACATAAATTAGCAACTACTGTGACAAGCAATGAATAGTTCAGGTATTTCTTAATTAAGGTTAAGTTATGTGTGATCGTTTGCAGCTTCTCATTGTTTCTCATAATAAAATGATGATGATTTATGGAGGGGGTTTGATCAGTTGATCTGAAAAAATGTTGGGCTTAAATAAGGTGATGCAGAATTTCTGAAGGGTTTCTGATATTTTGTAGTGCAGATGATTTCTAGTTGATTCTGATTCTAGTTCTAGCATTGCTAACTTGACATCGCAGCCTGTTCATTATCATCATAAAATACAGTCAGCCAAAAATATGAAACACCACACTGCTCTGTAGTACAATCTGAGCTGCAGTGTTTTATGTGGATATTGGAACGTGAGTGAAGAACAAAACCAGGTTTATGTAATGAATCAAATACAATCGTGAAAATGGAAACATTTGGATTTGTGCCACTTGTATGTGAACACAACGCCGTTTCAGTTTCACTTTAGATGAATTTCTTTGGGCTTGTCGTTTATATAGCTGCTTATATTTTTCATTCTTGTTCTGTTCTGAATACAGTTAAATTACATTTACATTTCTTCATTTGGCAGACGCTTTTATCCAAAGCAGGACAGGAAGGGATAAAGGATAATACAAGAACAGAAAAGGTGAAGGTACAGACACATTGAAAGGATTCGTTGTGGAGTGACGGGAACTAAAATAACATGTAGCTGAGCTGTGTTTATAATGTTTCTAGACATTATATATTTACCAGTATTTCACATTAGGCCCATTTCTGAATGCAATAATAAAATGCGACTTATACGCTGCTTTTTCCTCTCAAAAATGCAATTTTATTTTATATGTGTGATGTATTTTAACTATGCAGCAAATGTTTTGAAATATTTAGAAAAATTAAAAATACTTAAATAGCTTTTTTAATTGTTTAACTGGTTGTGTTAAACGCTCAAAATTAGTCCGTTAATGGTAAACCGGTTAATATGAGCATCCCTAGTCTGAAGGTAAAGCCTGCCCAAAGCTTCCCTGTGTTTCACTGGGCCTACACAATATATTATTCTGTCTTCATTTATTCTTCATCCGTCCTCACCAGAGAGAGCAGGCTGTGTCTCCTTACGCAGGAATCCCATCATGCT